TGTGCTTTGGGTCGTATAACCTTTGAAATTAAGTGAGTGACTTCTGTTATTTAAAATCTTAGTGACGTGAAGTCACTGGAGCTTTCATAATGTTTTTGCTATTTCACCAGTATCAGTGTAAGGGTTATAATGAAGTTCTTCAGATCTTCTGAATTGCTTCCATTGGAATTTGTTAATAATGTTCTTACATTAAAATGGCGTTCAGCTTTAAGTCAGTGGAAGAATGTGAGGTTAGACTATGGTTTAGAATTTTCATGGTTAGCATAATTACATGTTGGTATTTAGAGATGATGATCTCTCTTTATGTATAATTGATGAGGGAGAGACACAAACTGGATCAGACTAGGTCCTTGCTAGGTTCTTTCTCCATATACCATGTCATTTAATCCTCAGAGTGCTTTGTTACTCCATTTTTACATGTGAAAAACAGGATCTATTGATAAGTGACATCTGGGGACAAGCCATTAGTAATGGCAAGACAGAAGTGAAGTGCTAAAGTCAAAGTTCAACTTCTTTGTATTTGTGGGTGTGCCTACTACAATTTACCACGAGGTCAATTATAATAGCTAACTGCTTCTACTGTGTTTTTTTTTTTTTTCCTAGTTAGAATAGGAAGAGCCAAGTTTCTATTCAGAAGAAAAATGTCCATCAATAGACCCTGAACAACTGGACAGTATATCTTATTTTAAGGACCTTAATTGACTAGAAGATTTTTAAGGTTCAAAATTGGCCATATTATACCTCAACTAGTCATTGTATATATTTCTCTGTTGTACACTTTTGTTACTAGTTAATTCATGTAGCATAATGTCTTCAGGGTTTATCCATGTTGTAGATTGTGTCAGAATTCCTTAACTTTTAAGGCTAAATAATATTCCACTTGTATATGTACCACATTTTTTTTATCCATTCATCCATTGTGGTACTTGGGTGCTTCCGTTTTGGACTATTGGATAATGAGCAATGCTCCTATGAGCACGGTATACAAAGAGCGTTTGGGTTCCTGCTTTCAGTTCTTTTGGGTATATACTCAGAAGTAGAACTTCTGGGTCATTGGTAATTCTCTATTTTTCTTTTTTAAAATTTTACTTTAGGTTTTGGGGAACATGTGCAGGTCATGCAGGGTTCTCTGTTTTACTTTTTAAGGAATTCCTATACCATTTTCCACAGTGGCTGTGTAGGCCTATACTTTATGTTATAAGTTACATAATATATATTATTATAATATAGTTCTATTTTTCACATTAATGTGGTCAACATTATGTATTCAGCAGTTTGTTTTTATATTTATAAGAAATTTCCATGTCTATACTTAGAGCTCTAATTCTTTTTAGTCTCTAAATAGTGTTCATAATTTAGCCAACCCAGCAGGTAGTATACACATAGTATACACACACAGTAGATCCAAGGTGTACACATTTTAAAAACCTTGTAGGACCATAGAGTCAACCTTGTCAGACCTTCAGCCTTTGCAAAGAAAGCCAGAAACCAGATTTATTTGAAATTATTCCATTTTAAAAATGCCAAGCAAAGCAAAACTTGGTTCTACAGTTAGCTTCAGATCTTGTGCCACCAATTTGTGATTTGAACCACTGATCTTTATCAATATTATCATTGTCATCTAAATCTCTTCCTTTTTTTTTTAAACTTGAAAATAAACCTATCAAAAACCACCCGTCTCTTCCTGTTGCTCCTTGAACCTTTTTAATGATCGTGTGCTTCCATTTCCTGGGTTACTGCAATATTATGTTTCCTTAAATGCCACAATCCTCTTGGCCACTTTCATAATAATTCTCATTACATATTTCTCAAATTATATCTTTTGAGGTGAGTGCTAACCAAATGTTTATTCAACATTCACCATTTCCAAGGCTCAGCTCACTGTCCTCAGAGACTTCAGCACGGTTTTACATACTTAGTATTGTTAATACTATATCCCATCAACACAGACACTGACTGTTCACAGCTCTCTGGCATCCTGATTGTACAACTGGAGAGTGATTTCTAATTGCACCTTAGATACTCCAGAGCTTGGACTGTATATTAGTGAAAAAAGTGACCCTACCTTTAACACTTTTGAACACTATTTCCCTGTCGCCCCTTGCTGCTCCCACCATCTGACCCCTGCTTGCCTTCCACCATTCCTTTTCCATTCTGTCTGGTTTCCTTTAGCTGTACCTAGCTTGAACCATGATCACTCACTCCAGAGTTACACTCTCTACCACCCTAGAGTCGTGCTTGCCTTCCAGCATCCCACTCTCCAGTCCTTAGAAAATGACACACCAGGCCAATTCTGGCTCAGTAGTGTCCCACTTAACTGTTTATACTCTCCTTTTTTCCAGTACCCCCAACAATTGAATTCTCATATTTACCCAGAAGGTCTAAGAAATGCTTTTCAAACCTTTTGCTGGTTGTGAAAACAAATTTTGGGGTTTGCCATTATTTTATTTAAAAAAAAAAAAAGAGATTTAAAACAGAATGAAAAATAGAACGCAAGGCATATACTATAGGTAAATTCCATATCGTTACACTTTTGTATTACTGTGGGTAGAAGTCAGAATGGCCTCTGCACACTCCGCTCCATGGTGGAACTCATCTTGCACAGCTTGACAGGGTTAGATTGGCCACTCTTCAGGGAGGTCACTCTCTGTTTAGTCTTGAACAAAATTAAGTCCAATTCCTTGTTCAGACTTGTAGACCTTTCAGTGACCTGAACTCATTGACCTTACTTCATGTTCACAATTTCTCTACTGTACTTTTAAATGTTCCCAACCCAACTGCTCACTATTTCCCCAAGAAATATCCAGCTTCTGCTTATGTCATCCTTCTTGTTTACCGTACTGTGTCCTACTTTGGTCCTCAAATTACACTTAACTGGGATCACTGCCACATACTGCCATGGCCAGCTAATTTTTTTTTTTTTTTTTTGTAGAGACAGGGTTTCGCCTTGTTGCCAAGGCTAATCTCAAACTCCTCAGCTCACGCAGTCCTCCTGCCTTGGCCTCCCAAAGTTCTAGGATTATAGGGGTGAGCCACCGTGCTCAGTCCAGTAGTCACTTCAACTTGTTTCCTATGTATCCATTCAGTATTTTTCTCTAAAAGCAAATACAAATACTATATATTCTTATTTAGACCCCCTTTCTTAGGCAAAAGATATATACTTTATACTTTTTCACATAACGTTCTATCTTGGATATCTTTCCGTATTAGTACACAAGGAATTTCTTCATCCCTTTTTAAGGTGACATAGTATTTCATTATGTGGATGTCCCATGCTTTGTTTATAAATTTGCTTGTACTTTGTATAGATATTAACAAATCACCCTCCAAGTAGGGATGTGTTATTTTAGAGTCCTACCAGCAGTATATTTTCCTTCCGGGAAAATAGGCATATTCACTTTACCATGGTCAAGACAGGCATGATCCACTGTTGAAAATTAGAACACACTGGCAGGTGTTCCTGGGAGGTAGAAATGGGAAACAGGTGGAAATGGATGGTGGGGGTTTGTCAAGGCTATCTTCCCAGGACTGGACAGAATCAGCCATCGGTTCAGGGTGAAGTCTGGGGAAATGGGTGATATATTGGATGTAATCATGTTGCACTGGTCTTAGGAGAATCCAGGTTTTTTTTTTTTTTTGAGACAGAGTCTTGCACTGCTGCCTGGGCTGGAGTGTAGTGGTGCGATCTCAGCTCACTGCAACCTCCGCCTCCTGGGTTCAAGTGATTCTTCTGCCTCAGCCTCCCAAGTAGCTGAGATTGCAGGTGCCCACCACCATGCCAAACTAAGTTTTTGTATTTTTAGTAGAGACAGGGTTTTACCATGTTGGCCAGTCTGGTCTCGAACTCCTGACCTTGAAATTCACCTGCCTTGACCTCCCAAAGTGCTGGGATTACAGGCGTGAGAGAATCCAGTTTTTAACATCCATAGTGAGACCCAGTAAGATTGGAGCTTTTTTGGACTATGGGTTGGGTGAGGTTTCCTTCTACAATTTGAATGATAGATATCATCTCTATAATTGTAATTTCTCTTTCATAGAAGCCCTTTGGCCTAATTTCTATATTGAAACCAATTCTGATCCTCTTAAAATCTCTTCAGTCACAGATTAGGAAAGGTGACATGCCCAGGAACCCACTATGTTTCATTTTCATTCAGTTTGTAGGTGTGACCTGCCTAGGAAATTTAGTCTCAGGATATGTGGGTTATTTAAAATTTTTACCCCCAAAAACATGTTTCTTTTCCCTGTCATTTTCATCAACTATAAGAATATCATAGCAATGTCATTTTCCTAAAGGCTATGGATATCAATTGTCAAGTGGTTTAGAAATTCTAAGATAAAATATTTGAGAATTATATTACATGACATAACCAGTAAATTTTTTATTTTTTATTTTTTTGTCGTGTTCTTATATTTCAGAGACAAAATCATATGGAAGCTTGGGAAACTCATGGGAAATAAATAAATAAAAATCATACCACATGGCTTGCTTTCTTATTTCATATTTGGACCCTGACTTTCTCATGCAGCTTCTTGGTTTTCCTGCTGTTTCTCCTCAGGCTTCTTTTATCTTGTTGATTACACAAGGCATTCATCATCTCAGGGACAGCAAGCTGCAGTAGATTTAAATGCAAATAAGGAGCTATAGGCCTCCTATCACACCTCACTAAAGGGCTCAGTTTCCCTAAAATGCTGGGCCCCAACATACCTCGGTTTGCCATATATCCCATTTTTCCAAACCTGCATTCCTCCGAGTACCTCAATGCCCCCAGTTCAGCAGACACACACTGCTCTCAATATTCTAACTCCTGTATGCACATATTTTTTACTGCTCTTACTCTGGAACAACAGGCCGTCCTGGTGCTTGCCTCCTACACCACGTGCTTTTTTCAGCCCGGCCCATTTGCTCTGCTGTAGCCATCAGACCCTTCCTCACCCATCTCCTGTCCTGGAAGCACTTGCCCAGCTTGGCCCAGTTCTTCAGCTTTGACTGAACCCCACAGGTGCTTTACAAGGCCAAGTTCGGCCCAATGTGGATATCCAACATGGGGCCTCAGATGCACGTGAACCTGGCCAGTGCCCCACTCGTGGAGCAAGTGATGCGGCAAGAGGGCAAGTACCCAGTACGGAATGACATGGAGCTATGGAAGGAGCACCGGGACCTGCAAGACTTGACCTATGGGCCATTCACCACGTGAGCTGGAGCCTGAAGGGACTGGGACAGGGCCCCAGAGGGCCAGGGCGAAAGACAGTGGGCACAGGGCAGGCAGGTGGATAGCCGGCAGAATAGGGCCTTCCTGCATCTTTTGAGCCTGATAATCTAGAGAACAGTTGTTGGGAGGGGCTGAAGCCCAGGGACCATTCATGGGCTCTCCACTAATAAATATTATTTTGGTGCAAAAGTCCTTGCGGTCTTCACCATTAAAAATTATGGCAAAAACTACACCTGTAATCCTAGCAATTTGAGAGGCCGAGGCAGGCAATCACTTGAGTTCAGGAGTTCGAGATCAGCTTGGCCAACATGGTGAAACCCTGTCTCTACTAAAAATACAAAAATTAGCTAGGTGTGCTGGCGGGCACCTGTAATCCCAGCTACTTGGGAGGCTGAGGCAGGAGGATTGTTTGAATCTGGGAGGCAGAAATTGCAGTGAGCTGAGATCACACATTCCAGCCTGGGCAACAGAGGGGGACTCCATCTCAAAAAAAAAAAAGACCTGTTTAACTTGACATCTGACACTGAGGGCAAGATTTAGGTTGCAGTTTTCACTGGGCCAGGCCACCTGTGTCATGACAGCTCAGACTGAGAGTCGGAGCCAAACATTAGGTAGACCCTTTTGCAATCTATTTCCATTTTTTTGACTCTAAAGCCAGTTTCCTGAATACATGATATCACATGCATGCATTTAAAAGGTCTTCTGTGAATCTTTGAGTCAGATGATTGGCGAAAGAAAACAATTTTGCTAACTCCTAAATTTGGGGTTTTACAATTTTTGTTTTAACATATATATATATATATTTATTTATTTAGAGACAGAGTCTCTCTGTTGCCAGGCGCCAGGCTGGAGTGCAGTGGCGCGATCTCAGCTCACAGCAACCTCCGCCTCCCGGGTTCAAGAGATTCTCCTGCCCCAGCCTCCCGAGTAGCTGGGACTGCAGGCGTGTGCCACCATGCCCAGCTAATTTTTGTATTTTTAGTAGAGATGGGGTTTCACCATGTTTGTCAGGCTAGTCTCGAACTCCCAACCTAAGGTGATTTGCCTGCCTCTGCCTCCCAAAGTGCTGGGATTACAGGAGTGAGCCACTGCACCCGGCCAACATATATATTTTTAAAATATGATTTTATGAAGCATTGTTTCCCCAAGTGCTATTTTAACACCACATTTAAGTTTTGTATATCCAATTCCTACTGTTCAGAGAGTTTTACTTTTGGAACAACCCAAAATCCCAACAAATGGGTCTGTTCTGGTTTTCATTTATTTTTCAGTAACACTTTCGGTTTATCTTTTTGTAATTTTCCCCTACCATCATAAAGAGAGCTCCTGGGGGCAGGGTGTTGCAGGTCATTAAATAAAGAATAATTTTTTTTGAGATGGAGTTTCGCTCTTATGGCCCAGACTGGAGTACAGTGGTGTGATCTCGGCTCACCACAACCTCCACCTCCTGGGTTCAAGAGGTTCTTCTGCCTCAGCCTCCCAAGTAGCTGGGATTACAGGCATGTGCCACGATGCCCAAATAATTTTGTATTTTTAGTAGAGACAGGGTTTCTCCATGTTTGTCAGGCTAGTCTTGAACTCCCAACCTCAGGTGATTTGCCTGCCTCTGCCTCCCAAAGTGCTAGGATTACAGGCATGAGCCACTGCGCCTGGCCATAAATAATAATTTAAAAAAATAAAAATATACATTTGAAAAAAACTTTATTGCTTTAAAAAATTCAAAAGTAATACTGTAGAAATTCCACTAATAAAATAGTAAGTCTCCCGCCCTTCCACCCCGATGGCATCCTCCTTAGCAACCAGTGCTGAGAATTTGTTCTGTATTCTTCCCTCTTTATCTAGAAGCATGCAAATATACACGTGGATAGGTAGGATTTTTATCTCTTCTTAAAGTTGGACCATATTGTACTTATTGCTCTACAGCTAGCCTTTAAAAAAATGGACTCATACCCAGCTTTCTTAGGAAAGGAAATAGGTTTGAGGAACAGCTAAGAGTGGGGACAGTCCCTGGACACTAAGCTTGCTTATAGGAAGTATGTTGCCACTCACATGAGCACTCTTGCCTAACCAGAGAGGGGCCTGACCGTCTACTGCAGGACAGGCAAGAGCCTACAGCATCAGCCTCGTGGGCGTCCCTCTCCCTCTGACCCACTGAACCAAGTACAGCATGAAGCCTCAGAACCTGAGCACCTCGGGAACCCTAACTTGCTCCTCCTTTATTCCTCAGCCTCCGCAGCGCCCCTTTATTTTACATATGGAAGAGTCCAGAGTTGTATAATTCTAAGATAATCAGTCAATATTCACTAAGCGTTCACCATGTGTCAGGCACTGAACTAAGCACTTCAATGGCATACTGAGATAGGCACTCTTATTATCCTCATTTTATAGAAAGGGAAACTGAGGCACACAGGAGTTATCTACCTAGGGTCCCTCTGCCAGGAATGGTCAGACCTGTGATTTGACCCTGGATAGTCTGGTTCTAGATGCCCACCATACCCACTTCCACTTTGCTGTAGCGAGATTCTGAAGTTTTGGGATTCTAAGATTGTCCCTTGAGATTTATAATTCTATAATTCTAAATTCTAGGAGTATGGGATTTCCCTTGACCCTGGGGAAGGGAGGGGCAGAACGTCAGGGTGAGAAGATCTCCCTTAACTGAATCCCTATAGAGGTTTATGTTTGTGCTGTTCCTCCCTGTCCCTGCAGGGAAGGACACCACTGGTACCAGCTGCGCCAGGCTCTGAACCAGCGAATGCTGAAGCCAGCAGAGGCAGCGCTCTATACAGATGCTTTCAATGAGGTGATTGATGACTTTATGATACGACTGGATCAGCTGCGGGCAGAGAGTGCTTCGGGGAACCAGGTGTCAGACATGGCTCAACTCTTTTACTACTTTGCCTTGGAAGGTACTCTTGCTGGGAGAGGGGCTGGGGAAGGGAATGGGTCAGGGGGAGTTTGTGCTCCCCCTCCTCAAGGGCTCCTGGATTCAGTATGTCCTGGTTCTGCCTCCTGTGATGGCCTGTGCCCTACTCAGCTATTTGCTACATCCTGTTCGAAAAACGCATTGGTTGCCTGGAGCGATCCATCCCTGAGGAAACTGTGACCTTTGTCACATCCATCGGGCTCATGTTCCAGAACTCACTCTACGCCACCTTCCTCCCCAAGTGGACTCGCTCTGTGCTGCCTTTCTGGAAGCGATACCTGGATGGTTGGAATGTCATCTTCTCCTTTGGTGAGGAGTCCCAGATGGGGGCCAGGGAAGAGAGATGGGGGTGACCCCGGGTCTGTACGTCAGTGGTCTCTCCTGGGCCTTTTCCCTTATGCCACCAGTTCTTGGAGAGGCTCTTGGTCCTTGGCAATCATGACGTTTGGCTTTGTCCTTTCCTATTCTCTGTTGCTCTCACAGGGAAGAAGCTGATTGATGAGAAAGTCAAGGAAGTGGAGACCCAGCTGCTGGTAGCGGGGCCAGATGGCGTCCAGGTGTCTGGCTACCTGCACTTCCTGCTGACCAGTGGACAGCTCAGCCCTCGGGAGGCCATGGGAAGCCTGCCTGAGCTGCTTATGGCTGGAGTGGACACGGTGTGTGAGTGGGGGGTGGGAAAGGGGTGAGACCAGGGGCCCCGGCTCCCATTTTCAACCAGTTCCCCATTACCCCTCACCTGATCCCGACCTTCATTCCTCCAAGGACCTGCTTCTTTTGCTGTAACATGGATACATGTTACAAGGAAAATAGAGAGCTCATTCAGCTTAGCCGAGGTGGGTGGGCAGGGGATGGCCCTTTTGTAAGGGGGATTCCATCACCTCCTGGAGTCTCCTCACAACTGGGAAGTTCACTTCACATCTATCCAGCTCTCTTGCTGCCTCACGCTGTCTCCCAGGCTGGAGTGCAGTGACTCGATCTCGGCTCACTGCAACCTCCACCTCCTGGGTTCAAGCGATTCTCCTTCCTCAGCCTCCCGAGTAGCTGGGATTACAGGGGCACACCGTTATTTTATTTTATTTTAGTAGAGACAGGGTTTCACCATATTGGCCAGGCTGGTCTCGACCTCCTAATCTCAAGTGATCCGCCCACCTCGGCCTCCCAAAGTGCTGGGATTACAGGTGTGAGCCACTGTGCCTGGCCTGCACCTTCTTTCTTTATGGGTGTCCCATTTCTAGTGTTTTCATCCTAGTGGGTTTCTCTGTGTTGCAGTCCCCTCCTCTTGTGAAGGTGGTACTCTCCATCGTATTAGCCCTCATCCTACTGTGGATTCATGATTCATGTTTAGTATGGAGGTTGCTATGAACCTTCATCTGTTTTCTTGTTAGGCTTGTGGCAAATTCATTTTCTCACACATTTGGCACACACCCACTCATACACCCTCCCATGACTGGCCTCTTCCTAGAAATCCTCCTCACCTCATCTCCCACTCTATCTCCTAGACATCCAACACGCTGACATGGGCCCTGTACCACCTCTCAAAGCACCCTGAGATCCAGGCGGCCTTGCATGAGGAAGTGGTGGGTGTGGTGCCAGCTGGCCAGGTGCCCCAGCACAAGGACTTTGCCCACATGCCCTTGCTCAAAGCTGTGCTTAAGGAGACTCTGCGGTAGGACAGGATGCTGTTCTGGGGGGCACAGGGTCTATGTGTGGGGGAGGAATCAGAGGAGAGAATTGGAAGTTAGGACAGGTGGGCTGGAGCTAATGGCGAGGATGAGATGGGAGAGGCAGGGGAGCAGGGGTGGGGCACTTTGTACCCCCTTAAATCCAGAGGCAGACCCTAGACACTCTTTTCCCTGCAGCCTCTACCCTGTGGTCCCCACAAATTCCCGGATCGTAGAAAAGGAAACTGAAGTTGATGGCTTCCTCTTCCCCAAGAACGTGAGTGGGGCTAGAGAGCCCGAGTGCCCCAGAGTGCCCCATACCCCCGAAGAGATGCATTCATGCCGCCCAATCTTCCTCTCTAGACCCAATTTGTGTTCTGCCACTACGTGGTGTCCCGGGACCCCGACACCTTCTCTGACCCTGAGAGCTTCCAGCCCTACCGCTGGCTGAGGAACAGCCAGTCTGCTACCCTCAGAATCCAGCACCCATTTGGCTCTGTGCCCTTTGGCTATGGGGTGCGGGCCTGCCTAGGCCGCAGGATTGCAGAGCTGGAAATGCAGCTACTCCTGGCAAGGGTGAGCTGGGAGAGGCTAGAAGGGTGTGTGGTCAGGAAGAGGGGGAAGAATCCTGGGAGGAGAGGAAGGGAGGCACAGGGAAAGGGTGCGTAGAGCAGGGAGTGGATACTGAACCCACAATCCACCCACCCACATGTGCTCTTTACCCCCAGCTGATCCAGAAGTACCAGGTGGTCCTGGCCCCAGAGACGGGAGAGGTGAAGAGTGTGGCCCGCATTGTCCTGGTTCCCAATAAGAAAGTGGGCCTGCAGTTCCTGCAGAGACAGTGCTGAGCTGAGTCCCTGCCTTGCTGGGGCTTGTCCTGGAGGCTCCAGCCCTGGCACAGTGGTTCCTGGCTGCTGCTGTGCCTCAGATGACGAAGGGGAGAAGGGGGCTGCCAGCCTCGAGAGGTGGGAGGAACCCCCAGAACTTCTCACAGACCCTGAGCTTTTGCCGCTTCTGTCATTTCTAGCAACTCCCTCTCAGATAAAAGGCCACCCTGTTATCACATTGCTGTCCTTGGGTAGAATATAAAATAAAGGGATTTTATTTGCTATTGGAGACTTTTGTCACTCTTTTTGACTACCCGGCATCTGACAGAATTCCCTACTCCACTGAGTCATGGCAGGAGGCATAGCCCCCTACTCCAACCTTTGAAGCTAACACCTTTTGCTTTCCCAGACCTCACAGAGAGGTCTTGGTTTCACGGGCACTGGTTGAGGCCACATGGAGCAGGAACTGCAGTGACTCCTGAGCACCTGAGAGTGGCACTGTGTCAGTCAAGTTGCAGTTGTAGAGAATAGAAACCAGGCCGGGTGCGGTGGCTCATGCCTGTAATTCCAGTACTTTGGGAGACCAAGGCAGGAGGATCATGAGGTCAGGAGTTCGAGACTAGCCTGACCAACATGGTGAAACCCTATCTCTACTAAAAACACAAAAATTAGATGAGCGTGGTGGCGGGTGCCTACAATCCCAGCTACTCTGGAGCCTGAGGCAGGAGAATCACTTGAACCAGGGAGGCTGAGGTTGCAGTGAGCCAGGATCAGGCCACTGCACTCCAGCCTGGGCAACAGAGTGAGACTTTGTCTCAAAACAAAACAAAAAAAGAGAATAGAAACCACATCTTTAAACAGAAAGTGCAGAGATACAGGCAACGGGATGTTACAGAAATTAATGTAGGAGCTTGAAACCAGGCTAGAGTTGACTGTAGCAGGCACTGACCAGCTTGGGGAGCACCATGTTGGCCAGAATCGGGAGGATGAGGGTGAAGAAGCCACTGCTACAATATTGGCTCCAGAGCTACTCCATGTCAACTAGGTTCAAGTAGGTCTGGGCCAGCAAAACAAAGCAAAACAGGTCATGCAGGATGACCCCCTCCTGCTTCTCAGTACCCATGAAGCCAGCAGTAACTGCACTTGGGCCTCTGTGAATGCCTCGCAATTGCTCCCAACAGCAGAAAGGGCAGGGCCTGTACCTCTCTTCCACCTTCCACATCCCTCACATACAGCTGGGAAAAGGAACCTAAGTCCTGCCTGGAGCACTGGCTGCAAAAGAGCCCAGGGATTATAGTTTTAACTTTCCAACCTCGTTAGCACAGGAAGCCCTCTTGAGGGAAAGTGGGTTGCCATGGAGAACCACTGCACCACGACACTAGCCTGGAAATTCAGTGAGTCCCAGCCCCAGTAGTAAATTTTGGGGGAATCAGAAAAAAATGAAGTTCACTTTCTTTTTACTTTTTATTTTTTAGAGACAGGGTTTCACCATATTGGTCAGGCTGGTCTTGAACTCTGAAGCTAAGGTGATCCACCCACCTTGGCTTCCCAAAGTGCTGGGATTACAGGTGTGAGCCACCACACCAACCTAAAGTTCACTTTCTTAGGCCTGTGGGAATCAGGATTTGAAATCATTTAAAAAATGTTGCCATTGCCCTGATTAAAATACTTTAGAACTGCCCTCAGCCTTCAGTCAAGTTCAAAGTTGTTACTGTGGTTCATAAGAGTCACTGTGAGCTGGCACCCGGCACCCTAACCGTGGTCACCCTTCACAGCTGAGCCTGAATTCCTTGCATGTCTCTGAGCACATTATGCTCTTCCCAGCCTCAATACTTTGTACCTCCTGTCCCCACTCTTGGAACACCCTCTTCCCCAACTGTCATGTCATCACAGAGAGCTTGCTCTTCCTTAGGGTTCAGCTCAAATGTCACTGCCTCTGCAGAGCCCTCCCTGACCTCTCGAGCAACCCTGTGTCCCCGCCTTCCCCTCCCCTGCTTACAGAGCTGAGCTCTCAGCATGCTCACTTTATTAGAGATCCAGCTCTCTCCCAACCAACTGGGAATAACCTGAAGGGCACAAATCAGGCTCCTTTAATGCTGGATCCCAGTGTCTGTGTCTAGCACCTAGGAGGTGCTTAGTTAATGTTTCCAGAGCAAGAGACATGAATGGGGGAAGGGAAGGGAAGAAAGAGAGGGGAGGGGAAAGGAAGGGAGGGGATGGAGGGGAAGGAAGGGGAGAGGAGGGAATGGGAGAGGAGGACACAGAGTTTTTACATTGAGAAGGGGAACCCAGCCTATAATCCCAGCACTTTGGGAGGCCCATCAGGGAACCACTTGAGATCAGGAGTTCAAGACCCGTCTGGCCAATATGGTGAAACCCTGTATCTATTAAAAAATAACAACAACAAAAATTAGCTGGGTGTGGTGGCATGCACTCGTAATCCCAGCTACTAGGGAGGCTGAGACAGGAGAATTGCTTGAGCCCAGGAGGTGGAGGTTGCAGTGAGCCGAGATTGTGCAACTGCACTCCAACCTGGGTGACAGAGCAAGACTTCATCTCAAAAAAAAAAAAAAGAAAGAAAGAAAGAAAGAAAAGAAGAAAGAGGAACCTAGAGGGAATTGGGAGGAATTCCTGATTATACAGATATGGCTCTCAACCCCTCCTGTGTAGTGGGTCCACCTGTGAGAGCTCCTTGCAAATGCAGAGACTGTGGCTGGGCTCTGAGACTGCCAGGATCTGGGTCACAAAGTCAACCAGAGTGGAATTCTGCCTTCTCCAGTGTGCTGCTCCTTCCAACCAGCAGGGCCAAAATGACATGGGCCCCTCAGTCGCTTTGGCCGTGCTTCCGTGAGGGGAGCTCTGTGAGGAGACTTGGTTGGGGGTTTTGTGGCAGTTGTGCAGGATGATGTCAGTGTTCATGGTCTTGCAGCTCAGTGAATGAACTGATCTCTCGCGAAAGTCCATGAAGACCTTGTACAGCCACCCAATGAAATATTATTCACCCAGGAAAAAGCAATGAAGTGTTGATCATGCTATACTATGGATGAACCTTGAAAATATTATGCAGACAGAAGGAAGTCAACAAAAAGACCACATATTGTATGATTCGATGCATACAAAATGTCCAGATGGGCAAATCTATAGAGATAGAAAGTAGATTGTTGGTTGGCAAGGGTGGAGGGAAGGGAAAATGGGTAATGACTGTGAATGGGTGTTTTTTTGGGGTGATGAAGATGTTCTGGAATTAGAGTGGTCACCACGAACTCTGCCTAACTTTTTGAATATACGAAATAGCACTGAATTTTATATTTTGGTTTTTGTTTGTTTTTTTTTTGAGGGGGAGTCTTGATCTGTTGGCCAGGCTGGAGTGCAGTGGTGCAATCTCGACCTGCTGCAACCTCCACCTCCAGGGCACAAGCAAAATCTCCCACATCATCCTCCTGAGTAGCTGGGATTACAGGTATGTGCCACTACACCCAGCTACTTTTTGTATTTTTAGTAGAGATGGGGTTTGGCCCGGTGGTCTCGAACTACTGACCTCAAGCGATCCGCCTGCCTTGGCTTCCCAAAGTCCTGGGATTACAGGTGTGAGACACCACACCTAGTCTGAATTGTATATTTCAGAAGGGTGAATTGTATGGCATATTAATTACATCTCAAGTGAAAGAAATCTGTGAAGATCAGTTTGATAAGATTATTGCAGAAATAGATATCAATGTAATCAACACTTGCAGAAGATTCCTGGGGATCACCAGAGGCACCACAGGAAAGTCTGAGGCAGCACTGCCCTGTTACGTATCTACAGGGCCTAGAATCCAACCTCAAATTGGAAATTGGAAATGCAGAGGAGAAGGGGCTAAGCCGATGGGCGGAGTCACAAAGTCCTCATGAGGCTGTGCTTCCTCACCCTTTGATGAGGTGTAGCCACAGCTTCAGAGACTCCCCACAGTTTTTGTCATCAGTGACAGAACACAAGCTGTAAGAGCTGAAGAGTTAAGAACACCAATGTGAAACCTTGCCTCCCGGAGCTGCCGCTGGAAAGCTCACCAATATGGAATTAGGGGGAAGAGAATCAAAGACTCCCACCCCAAAACAGAGAAAAACGAAATATACCATGGCCAAAGTGATTTACCTTTATACTTATTTTTTAATCTTTAAAAGATATTTATTGCCATATAGTATACCTAAAGAAAAATGCATTGACCCTAAGTGTACATGAGCTTCTTTCATAAATTTCATGTGTACATGTGTGCTTTCGCATGCACATGAAATGACCTCTGTTTATATTCCATCACAATGCCTGGACAAGACTTAATATCAATGAGGAAATCACTTTCTTCGACAGTGATTCATTCAGACACATATGTAATGTCTCTAGGTTGGATGGGTCAGTTCCTTCCCCAGCAGTTTTTTCTCTAGAGGGTGAAACACATCAGCCCTGGTTTGAAGGTTGGCAAAAAATTCATCAGTGGCCAGTGACGGACCACAGTTCCAGGGCCTGAGAGTCTCAGGAGCTCAGGGTCCCCAAGCGTCACTGTGAACAGGTGTCACAATGAGGCTCCCTGAGAGCCAACCCCAACCTGCTTCTACAAAGAAAGAACAACACTGGATTAAGGATTGTTGGTTCTGTACAACACATAGACCTTTGGCTCAAAGGCCATGCACATGGTGTTACTAATTTGAAATTATTGGCCAAATTTGGATCCATATTTTTGGGCAAAGTCTTAAGAAAACAACTTGTCTTCTTAAACAACAAGGTGGCACTCTTTCTCTTTTTTCTTTTGAGATGGAGTTTCACGCTTGTTGCCCAGGCTGGAGTTCAATGGCACAATCTTGGCTCACTGCAACCTCCCACTCCCAGGTTCAAGTGATGCTCTTGCCTCAGCTTCCGGAGTAGCTGGGATTACAGGCGCCTGCCACCACGCCCGGCTAATTTTTTGTATTTTTAGTAGAGATAGGGTTTCACCATGTTGGCCAGGCTGGGACTCAAACTCCTGACCTCAGGTGATCCACCCTCCTGGGCCTTCCAAAGTGCTGGGATGACAGACGTGAGCCACTGTGCCTGGCTAAGGCAGCGCTCTTGTAAATAAAAATAAACAGGGTACCCAGTGTTGCCTGGCTATCTACATGCTCAGGTTCCATGAAAGTTTTAGCTCGGAGTGCATTTTGGCTTGGTGATAGAAGTTTGTTTCCAGGTCTTTATTTATGACTCCAGTTTTAATATGCATATCAAATAAAAATTTTGACCATTGTCACGAAAGGAACATGCAGGGTATGGTAATGCACAACACGTCTGCATTTTAGGATGTCTGGGAAAAGGGTGGTGAGAATGGTAGTGAGTCATACATCTTCTGTTTGGCCACTGTCCTTAGCCTTTGCTTCTTGGAGACCTTAAGCATAATTAAATGATAGCTAGACCCCATCATGTGACAAATGATTGACCAGCTATAAGCTTGGGGCACACTCATTTCTCAGCCCAGTTTCATGTTCATTGTGTGCTATTAATTATAAGTCTCTAGCACTTATAGAAAATAGATACAGTTGCTTAGTTCCCACCCCAAAATGAGGAAATTAGTATCCTTAGGAATGGAGCCCTGGAATCTGCATTTTTTTGAGTCTTGCTCTGTCGCCCAGGCTGGAGTGCAATGGTGTGATCTCTGCTCACTGCAACCTCTGCCTCCTGGGTTCAAGCGATTCTCCTGCCTCAGCCTCTAGAGTAGCTGGGTTTACAGGCACCCGCCGCCACACTGGCTAGCTTTTTGCATTTTTAGTAGAGACGGGGTTTCACCATATTGGCCAGGCTGGGCTCGAACTCTTCACCTCATGATCCACTTGCCTTGGGTGGATCCCAAAGTGCTGGGATTACAGGCATGAGCCACCACTCCCAGCTTGGACCCTGCATTTTATAGAGTCACAGTGGCAACTCTGTGACTCTTTTCTAGCAGCCATGATGGCTGCAAGGGCTGGGCTAGGACCAGAGGAGGGCAGAGACAGGGAGGGTGGCATGCACCCTCACAGAAGGTCCCAAAGAGGAGAACAACTGGGTCTTTAGGATGGTGTGTCCAGACAGGTGGAGGGAGGTCTGCTTCCATAAAGGCAAGGGGAGCAGGAGGGGCAAAGAGTGCTTTCCTCGCTGCTTGTCCTAGCAATGCTGAAGATGCTTCTCATGCACACAGCAGAGTCGCCCAGCGGCATAGCCTCAAAGGACTAACCTGTTACACCATCCCAGAGCTCCAGGCTACTCAGGAGCACTGTCACTGGAGAGACCTTCTCTGGGCCCAGACCCAACCACCACCCCACTCCAACCTTCTCCCTTGAGCCCAGGACCCCGGACCTTCCCAGGCAGGACCACAGCAGAACCAGCGCTGACCCTCAGGTTCTGGCAAAATGTCTAGTGAGAGAACATCTTCATTTATGGTCCAACCAATTAAGTACACACGCCTCTGCCTTCTCACTCGGTGGGCTGGGGAAGGGGTCATGTCTTAGAGACAGTGACCTCCCCCTCCTCTGGACAGCCAGACAGGCAGTGCCCATTGCCACAGGAAGGTGACATAGCAGAAGGGAGCCTTGGCTTCAGAATTTCAAAAGCTTGATTCTGAAGGTCGGTGGCAAGAACTCAGGACACTTACAGTGCATTTGGAAGAATATATGAGGGGTTAAAGAATAAAAGGCCCTCTGTCCCCACTCAAGATTCCATAGGTTGGCAGGGCTTGGGGAGCAAAGTGACTGTTGAAACTTCTGGAATCCTTGAGAAAAAGGCCCTGAGAAGGGGGTTGCGCCTCAAGAGGGAGAAAGTATGACAAATACTCCATATAGGTTTGGAGGTGATAAGGGTAGGGAAGTACTGAGTAGAAGAACCCGCATGCTAGGCTGGGCGTGGTGACTCACGCCTGTAATCCCAGCACTTTGGGAGGCCAAGGCAGGCTGATCACAAGGTCAGGAGTTCAAGACCAGCCTGGCCAACATGGCAAAACCTCATCTCTACAAAAAAAAAAAAAAATAGCCAGGCATAGTGGCATGTGCCTGTAATCCCAGCGACTCGGGAGGCTGAGACAGGAGAATTGCTTGATTATTTGAACTTGGGAGGTGGAGGTTGCAGTGAGCTGAGGTCATGCCACTGTGCTCTAGCCTGGGTGACAGAGTGAGATTCTTTCTCAAAAAAAAAAAAAAAAAAAAAAAAAAGAACCGCATGCTTCTGGGCAGAGACTGAGAAAACAGCAAGCTTGTAGAAAGTAAAAAGTTCCTCTTCAAAGTTTCCCTTCTTGTTAAGGAACAGTAATAATACATATTAGAAATAATAGTCTCGTTTGAAGACTTTCTTCAAAGCTTTCTTGCTTTTTACTTGTAACTCTTTGTTAAGCCCTATCCTATGTAGCTGTTAGATATAAAAGAATAAGACTTGTAGTTTGTGCTAGACATGCTGATAGGCATATAGTACATTCTATGCCCTTGTACTTTAATCAAGATATTTATACTATTACTTTTCTAAGTCCTTTTGCAAGCAACTTCCTCTCCCTTATTTAGACTTTCTCTTTTCCTTTGTTTTCCATTGCCTTTACCTATTTAGAAAAGTTTTAAGTTGTTAGCCAATCAAGTTTAGTTTAGATTGTGAAGTCTGGCTCCAACCCACAGAGATCAGACACAGCAGTAAAGACCCAATGCATAAAGAATAAATATGCCTGCCTTTCCTTCGTTCGTTGTACTCTCATGGCAAGATGGCTGATGAGCAGTATCCTTTCTGTAGAAAGTAAAATTGCCTTGCTAAGAAAACTTTTTGTCTAAATACTAATTTTTCCTTACAGTACCTAAGAACAAGCATTCTGTCTCTAACAAAGCCACAGAGCAGAACAAGGGACTTGGCCGATATCTTAGCAGTAGGCTTAGAACAGAATCACTGAGCTTTCTGAAGCCAGAGGGTATGTAGGGCCAGGAGCTAGAATGTGCCACGTGCCCCAAGCACAGGCCCCCAAAGAGGCTTTGTGGGAGTGAAGAAGCTCCTGGCAGACCATGCACGACCAACTGATGACCAGATGGGGATGCGGATGCTCCAGTGGGTGCTTGCATGGATGGATGATGATGGCTGAGGAAGAGAGTCTTACACCACTTAAGGCCTCCCGGACCCCACCGAGCTTAACCCCAGAAAAGGTCAGGGGGAAACTCTTAATTGACTGAGATTAATTTCTACCACCTGGTGAAATGGGGTTCCTAATAGAAATTACATTTGGTGTTAGAAAAATAAAGTTATACTTCTTGCAGATTAGAGTTTATAGGCTGAGTTGTACCTACTATATAAATAATAAATTAATATTTTCTTTACAATTTTCTTGTAAATAAAAGAGAAAAAAACAATTTCAGTAGAATAGTACTACATGCAAAAGAAATGCCACTTTCAATTTTTGTCAATTTTCCTTCTTGTCTTTGAATTTAGAAGGCACAAGTCTCTTGCCACAAGTTCATGTCAAATGACTGCAGCATTTTGAGTGAAACCTATAAAATCTAAGTTCATGGATTGTTCCTTTTGCTTTGTTTTCTTTCAGTTGCTCATTCTCAGGGCTCCATTTACAGGTCCATCCATCCCTGGAGACTAAGAACACTGCTCACTGCGAGAGCTAAGGAGTTTTCTGGACAAGAATGGAGGGAGGACCCCTGCCACCCTCCAACAGGCAGTTTGATAAATAACCGCTGCTCCATGGTGGCCCCTGAAATGCAGCATTTCAGCAGCCCTGAAACAACACTGGCTGGGGAGTAGGAGGGCACTGGCAACGTTGCTGGAAACAACATCTGGGACTCCCAGGAGCTGAGGGCTGGAGCCATAGGTAGCCCAGAAGCTGAGGAGTCCAGAACCCCTGACTAAACCCACTGGGGCTGTCAGACCCAGTTAGGGGGCAAGGGGTTGAGTGGGCATGGAGCACAGATGGCCCTGGGGTAATCCTAGTGCTTCTGGTTCAGGGACCTTCAGGCTTGACACAGCTGTTCTCTTTAATTTCATCATCCCATGGTGCACTGGCCATGCCTGGGGGCTTCTGGGAGCACAGGCAGGACAAGGGCAATTTGGGAAGGCTGAAGAAGCCTGTGGGGAAAAGAAAAGGGAAGATGGTGACCACATAGGAGGGGAGCTGCCTTTCCAGCAGGGAAGTCTTGCCAGTCATGGTGAGTAGATGGAATCTGTGCCCCATCCTCTGTAAGCCCCTAGCAAATGTGCGACCAGGAAAGAGTGAGATCATGTCACATTTCCTGAGATGAGCACATAGGTAGAAGCTCCTTCCTTTAAGCCTTAGTTCTTACTGGGGATGGAAATTCCACTCAACAAAGGTTTGTATAGCTTGCTTCCTTCTAATGGGATTTCCAGCAGGTGGAAATTGAATTGTGAGGGAACTGGTAAATCTTCCCAGAGTGTCCGAAGTCATTGATGCCTGAGCCTTTAGCTGGGCCTCTGTCCCTCCCTCCTAGGAGAGTCCCCACGACCTCAGCTGAAAATGGGACAAAGTGGGGAATTGTGAGTCTTTATACTTGTAGTTTTCTCAGGGCTGTTCAGCTTTGAGGTTGGCCACTCCCATCCTCTGGGTGTCCCAGTCTGATATCCAGGAACTCAGGACAACTAAGAGGCTGGTCTCATGGCCCAGGGCAGAGCCTACCTGAACCACAGCTGAACCAGCAAATGGGGGTGGGAGAAGATGAAGGCTGAGTTCCCTGGCTCCCTTCATTGGCTTCCAGATGTAGAGGTGGTTTGGGATTGAGGACTCTGATCTTCTCAGGACCCGAGAGCATCAATGCCAGCAGGGCTGAGCACCAGTGCCTGAAGGATGTCGGAGAGGGAGACCACGCCCAAGAGATGCTGGGTCTCGTCCACTAGCACCAGCCTGTGTACCTGTGGGTCCGCAGTGTTCAGTGAGGGGGCAGAGCCATGGGGCTACGGCAGTTACTGAGGTTGGTGCCAAGAATCAGGGGAAAAAACCTAACATGACTGGGGGAGAAAGAGTGTCTCCAGTTGGGATTGGCTGTAACTGCCCTAGGGCGATCAGCTGGCAGCAGCCCATGGCACAAGAGCCCCATGGACAGGACCAGGTACAGACCAGTGTGGACACCAGGAGTTGGTCATGAAATGGGAGGATAGGCTAGGCATCCGATATTCAGGGATGGCTGAAGCCGTGCATGAGAAGGACCGGGCCATAAGTGTTGGGGGCATAAATGGAGGGCACAGGGTACCTGCTCCCGAGCAATCCTGTCGATCACTTCCCCCAAGCTCTCGTGGGGCTGGCAGGAAAGGACTCCCTCCAGACATAGTGTCCTCTGCCTCAGAGCTTCTCCCACACTCATGTCCAGATGGTTGTAGGTTTGCTGGGCAGCCAGGTGCTGGGGCAGAGAGAGAAGTATGGCTCCTAGTCACCCCCTTACCTGGGCTCCTACCCCACAGACATCACCCCCTGCATATTTATCAAGGTCCCTCTGGTCCACAGAGGCTCCCATCCATCCCCACACCCTTAACCTCCCTGCAGCACCCCAGCTTTCCGGCAACACTTACAATCACGTCAAAGCGGGAATAGAGGCCCACGACCTGACCTGCAGAGGGTGGCAGGTGGAAGGGGGGAGAAAGACAGGGAAGAGGCTCCGATCAGAACCGGGATGCTGTGTAGAGGGCCTAGGGATAACTGACATCAGGGTGCCACTACCAGAATCCAAGGATCAAACTTAGCATCCCAGAGTGAGACACCCTGACACTGAGCATCCTGAGGAAATGCAGTATGAGTAATAGCATCACCTACGAAACAGTCTAGTCTCCAATGCATCACCCCAATCTCTTCAAGTCTCTAGATATAATTTCAGTTTACAGGAAACCCAGGAACAGAGAATAAAGTAAAGGCCAGCTCCAGGAAGCAAACAGACAAATTTGGACGTGGGGTATCCTACTGGACAACTGATCCAGGCTGTTCAACTCATCCATGTCATAAAAATTAACGGGGAATTGTGTTGTTCTAGATTTAAAAAGATTTAAGGGACAAAAGACAAATGCAAGCCATGGACTTCACCTGGATCCTGTTTTGAACAAATGAAGTATAAAAAATACATTCCTTTGGGAGGCTGAGGTGGGCGGATCATGAGGTCAGGAGTTCAAGACGAGCCTGGCCAACATAGTGAAACCCCGTCTCTACTAAAGATACAAAAAATTAGCCAGGTGTGGTGGCAGGCAGCTGTAATCCCAGCTACTTGGGAGGCTGAGGCAGGAGAATCGCTTGAACCTGGGAGGCAGAGGTTGCAGTGAGCCAAGATTGTGCCCGTTGCACTCGAGCCCGGGTGACAGTGCAAGATTCCATCTCAAAAACAAACAAACAAAAACCCATTGTTGGCCAGTTGTGGTGGCTGACGTCTGTAATCCCAACACTTTGGGATCCCCAGACAGGTGAATCACTTGAGGTTAGGAGTTCGAGACCAGCCTGGCCTATATGGTGAAACTCCATTTCTACTAAAAATACCCCCCTAAAAATTAGCTGGGCATGGTGGTAGGTGCCTGTAATCCCAGCTACTCAGGAGGCTGAGCCATGAGAATCAACTGAGCCCGGCAGGTGGTTGGAGTGAGCCGAGATAGCACCACTGCACTTTAGCCTGAGTGACAGAGCGACACTCCATCTCAAAAACAAAACAAAACAAAAAGCATTCTTGAGGAAATGGAGAAGTGAGAATAAGGATTGGATATTGGACAATAATATAAATTGTTAATAGTTTTGTTTGGTGGTATGAAAATACACTTGTTTTAAGAGGTGCAGACTGAAGTGTTTAGGGGTGAAATGACATGATATCTATAATTTACTTTGAATTACTTCAGAGAAAAAGATGAGCTGGTTATGGCAATAGGGTAGCAGTAACTAATCTAGGCAATGGATATAGGGGCTTCATTACGCAATTTCTTTCTACCATTTTCATACATTTGAAGTTTTTCATCATCAAAAATAAATTTAAGACACTTCTTGATATCTATCTTAATTATGGTGATTTTACCTTTGAAATATTTTATAGCTATCATTCAACCAAAGAAATAATCTTGTCGTTTCTCTCGCCCCTTTTCAGTGTAGGAAACTGAATTCTTGCTGGGGGCCCAAGGGTCTCATAGCACATTTTATTTTTAAAAATTTTATTATTTCATTATTATTATTTTAGAGACAGAGTCTTACCCTGTTGCCCAGGCCGGAGTGTCATGGTATGTAACCTCAAACTCCTGGCCTCAAGCGATCTTCTCATGCGTGACCATTAAGCTGTGCGCCACTGTGCCTGGCTCTATTTTACAATGAACTAAAACTAAAAACCTGATCTCCTACTGCTTCCTCTCGCTATGCCCATTTGAGTGCACAAAACCTTTTAAATCCTCCTGTGAAGTCAGAAAGATGAGTGTTGTGAAGATTCCCATGTCACAAATAAGGAAACTGAGGCACAGAGTGGCTAAGCAACAGGACTAACTCTCAGAGCAGACAGAGACTTCGAATCCCCACTCCATCCTGTACTCCCCCCAGGGATGGCACGGGAACCCCTGCACTCCCCACACTCTCCCCACCAGGTTCTCCCAGGCCCAGCCCAGCCCAAGCCTCTCATCCTGGGGGTGGGTACCATATTCGTTGACCACAGGCAGTGCAGACACACGCCGGTCCACAAAGATGTCCAGTGCAGTCAGGATGGGTGCTGTCTCCAGCACCACAGCCAAGTCTCGAAATGTGCCGATGCCCAAATCTTGGATAGTGCGGTAGAGGAAGGAGGGCCGGGGCAGCAGGGTACCCTGGTTGGGATAAGGACCCGGTGGAGATCAGGGATCCAGCAGCTTCAAGAGGGCTTCCAGCTCCTCCCTCCCACTCCTGAGGTTGAAGACTTCTCAGGCCCTCTGATCGCCTCCCCAGGTCTTCCCCTTCCTCCCACCTGGGCCCAGGCTCACAAAGATGTGCAGGAACTTGAGCAGGCGTTTGTGTGTGAGGATGTGGAGTACAGTGCCCGATACTGGGTCCAGAACAGGCAGGCGATGGATCCGATTCTTGATGAGGGCATAGACAGCTTCAAACAGGCTGCGGAGATGGGAGCAGTGAGCCTGGGGGCAGCCTGGGGGAGACATCCTGCATCCCAGCCCCCTAAAAAGGAGGGCAGGGCACCAAGGCTGCCTTGTCTGTGTGCTGCCTAGGATGAAGAGGTGAGTTCAGAGCTGAGTGGGACTGGGCAAGGGGACTGTGGGAGAAAGAGGCTCAGGTGAATGAGTGGGGACACTCACCTGTCATTAGGCGAGATGGAAACCAGAGGCTTGAAGCAGCCTTGTAGGTAGATCTCTGCAGAAAGAGTCGGAGTCAGGCCGAGAGAGCTGCTCACCTGCCTTGCCTTGCAGTCCCAGGCTGTGTCCCTTCTACCAGGCTCCTATTGTCCTTTCCCAGCTTGCTCCAGGACATCCCCCCTGCCCATCCTCTACCTTAGGCCCTGGCCCACCCTCACCCAACGGCCCCTTTCCGGGTCCCCTCTCCTAACTCACCCCTCCAGGTCTCAATCTTATGTTCTTCAATCTCATAGATCTGGACCTAGAGACATCAACAGGACTCCAGAAGTCAGGCAGACATGGGCTTCTAGGTCACCAGCCTCCAGGAAGACTCCCCTCCACCCCTGCCCCACTGGGTGCCCACAAGATTCCCAGCCCACTCCTCACCAGTGGGGACCTGTAGTAGCGATGCAGCACCAGGATGAAGTCAGTGATGGTCAGCATCCCTGCAGGGAGGGGCAGGGAGGAGTTCAGCCCGGAGCCTTTGTGTGGGAGGCAGGTTGAGGGTCAGACCCTCTCCCTACCCTGCCAGTCAGTGTTCTTGCATTGAGACACAGCGGGGACTGAGGGAAGAGGACATGGGGCAGCCCCCCAGGCCTGAGAAGCAGGGCTCTCCCTCTCTGCCTTCTCCCATTTGTTCCCTAGCACCTCTGGCACAGGGCCATGCGGTTGCAGAGTGGGAAGGTGTCAGCTGGTCACAGCAGCTCCACAGATGTGGAAATTGATCCCCAAGTTCTCCCAGCTGGCCACCCAGACTTGGGGTGGACTTTCCCCCACCCTGGCTCCTGGCTGGGCTTGGCCTGACACTAAACTTGTGGTATGCTAGAGTTCAGGCCCAGAACGACTGTACTAGGTCCCCCCTTCCCCTTCTCCAACTCCATCAGCTCCCCAGCCTCTCCTCACCCACAAAGCTCTGCTTCTTGCTGTCCCACAGAGGGGCTGCCCGCACACCGTTGGCCACCAGGGCAAAGAAAGCCTTCTTGATCTGAGGGTCCAGGGAGAACAGTCAAGGATGGGTCCCGAGAGACCCTCACCCTCCTCTCTCTGCCCCTCAGTGGGCACCTCCCATCTGCCTGCTGTCCCCTCCCGGTCCCACCTAGGGTTCTTCCATGAGGCCTTCTTCTGGACCCTCTTCTATACCAGCTTGCCTGTCTTTCTCATGTCACAGCACATGCTAGACATGATCGTTGCTGGGGACACGCGGTACACAGACAAGGCTGTGGCCTGAGACACAGAGCTGCTCACCCAGCACACTGGGGAATGAGAAATTCTGACTTCATGTTTCCATTTGGAGGGCATGTGTGTGCACAGTCTAGTTTCTGATAGCCTAAGTGCCGGAGGCATAGCTGTTTATGTAACATTTGTATATTTACATGCTTTTTGTAGATAAATTTTATAGTGACTCATTTTGAGCCCCATTCTGTTTTTTTTTTTTTTTTGAGACAGAGTCTCGCTCTGTCACCCAGGCTGGAGTGCAGTGGCAAGATCTCAGCTCACTGCAACCTCTGCCTCCCAGGTTCAAGCGATTCTCCTGCCTTGGTCTCCCAAGTAGCTGGGATTACAGGCACCCACCACCATGCCCAGCTAATTTTTTTTTTGAGAGACAGGGTTTTACCATGTTGGCCAGGCTGGTCTCAAACTCCTGACCTCATAATTTGCCCATCTTGGCCTCCCAAACTGCTGAGATTACAGGCGTGAACCACTGTGCCCGGCCTCTGCAATGTCCTGCACATACTCCGCTCATGCTTTATACTGGGTAGTCCAAGAATCCTCTGAACTATGTGGGGTGCACAGGCATTTTGATTCTCATTTTAGAGAGGAGAGCGGTAAAGTGACTCCAAGTCCTACAGATACTAAGTGGCAGAGCTGCAATGACAATTAGGGGTGCTCACAGAGAGTAGCTTTCCCTCCCCCAGCTGGCCTCCATAGTGCCAAGAAGGAGTCCTTTCAGGGGACTTGCGGGGGCACCTGGCTTGGCAGGGCATCCTGCGGGGTGGGGGTGGTGGCTGCAGCATCGTGTGGGTGGAGAGCGGGTGCAGGTTGGGCAGAGCCATGGCCTCACCTCCAGCATGGTGTCGATGATGACCAGCTTGGAGCTGGTTGCCATGGCGTCGTAGCAGGTGTGCTCCTGCATGAAGCGCATGTAGACCTGGGCACCGGGTTTCTGCAGCTCGTCATCCCAGCCCAGCTTGGGAAACAGGGCCTCCGGGGACCGGCTTGGGGCAGGCCTCTCTTCCACCAGGTCTTCTGGCTTACGCTCCCAGGCCTCTGTGGCTGGGAACTCCGAGGCCAGCTCCGCATCATCTGGGCTAGAGCCTGCAGCTGAGGCTGTGCAGTCATGGGGGAGGCTGTCCCACCCTGTTGGTGGAGTGCCCACCCCAGCAGGATCAGCCTGAGCCAAGGGTATGGCCTTGGGGAATGTGGCCTCCAGCCCAGTGGACTCAGCAGCTGGCCTGGACCGGGGACCTGTTTGGGGGAGGAGGGAAGAGGATAGTAACTCCATCTTCCACAACACTTTCTCATCTGCTGTCGCAGTTCATCTCACAGCAGCTTTGGGAAGCCTGGATGCTGTGGCCCTTCTGCAGGTGAGAGGCTGATCTGAGAGTCACTCCGGATAGGGACTCTGTCCCAACTCTCTGAGTTGGCCATACTGGCCCCCCACCATTACAGAGCAGTTGTTCTCTCCCAGGTAGGGAGACTGAGGCCACAGATGAGGGTTGGGTCCAACTCTGTGTTATGGAGGGACCCGGGACTTCCCACTGCCCTGGCTGTCATCTCCCCAGAACTGGCCTTGGTCTCACCTTCCCCCAGACCCTGTGGCTCCCCTTCCTCCACCGCCTCCTGCCTTGTCCATCTTGAGGCCTTGGCCCTCCGTTTCCCACGGATTCTTTCTGAGCTACTGGTCACGGCTGGTGATGGCCATGAGGTGCTGTCTTCTTGCTCTAGGAAGTTCATCTCTGGAAGGGAAACGGGGCCTGTTTGGTTAATAGGGAGTCAGAGCAAAGTCCATTCGAACATTGTTAATAATAACCTTCAGAATGTGCCACTTTCCAATGGGCTTTTCTCCAACATATTTCTCATTTGAAACTCACAGCAGCCCTAAAAGGTAGGCATTATTATCATCCCTATTGTGCTAGTGAGGGACCAGACGTTCAGAGAGGTTAAGCAGTTTGCTGCAAATCACACAGCTAGTAAGTGGGAAAGTCCCTTCTGAAAAGAGGAAAGAGGAGGTGAGGGAAGCACACCTGGGGAAAGGAGGAAGAGCAATAAGGAAGAAAGAACAAAAGGAGGAAGATAAAAGCCAGGCTGGGAGGGAATGGGGTCCCAGAAAAGTGGGGGGACAAGGAAGTGAGGGAAGAGGTCAGGCCCAAGGGAGGGGGCAATCTCCCTACCTTGATGCTCAGAATCCCCAAGGCTGCTCCAGGAAGGGGTCTGTGTGGAGAAGACTTTCTGACGGCGTGGGGAAAGAGCCTTATATCCCCAAACCACAGGTCCTCCCCTTCTCCTGCACGCACGCCTACACACCCATACACACCAGGACACACGCTCACACGGCCATGCACACACACACACAAACACACACAGAAACACACACAGCCAACCACTCCCAGGCCCACAGAGCCGCACACACTCACAATACATATGCCCAGACACCCACATGCCCATATTCACGAGAAAATCCTGACCAAACCCACACCAACAGACACCCATGTGCGCACACACATTCACAGCGTGTGCTCTCAATCTTCTGGCCTCAGCTGCCCCGGCTCCGGCTCCCCTGGACCCTCATACCCTGCGCAGAGCGTGCTCCAGCTCGGGCTCCATGTGGCCAGCCCCGGACCAACGGAGAGCAAGTGTGCAACACTGTGGCTGAGCCGCACTATTCTGGGCCCGGTGTTGGGCACCCTGCCCTGCCAGGGTCGGTTTCTCTCTGATTGGGTGTCAGGCAGCGGGAGGGAGGAGCCCCCACTCGCTCAGCTGCTCCAGCTCTGAAGCTGGGGGCTGCTGGGAGGTAAAGAGTGCACCCGATCATCTGCGTACCTGGTCCTTAGCTGCCTCCTGGGTCACTGGGGACAAGTAAGAGGGACCCATTATCCGGGGATGTGGGAACGTGTGCACTGGGCACAGTTGGGCTCTCAGATCCTGGGCCCCTATTCCAAAGGCCTCTCTCACCTTTATCAGGCACCAAAGCAGGGAACATGGAGGGAGGTCAGTGTAACTTTCTTCCTTACTCACTTTCAGCAGAGGGTGGTGCTGGAGTTAGAAAGGGCAAGTTGCAGCCAGCTTAGAGGCTGGCGAGGAGGCAAGGGGTTTGTGGGTAGTTCCAGGAGAGCAGTCAATGTATGTCCAGATATCCAGATTTGAGTCCCTGGGGCCTGTCCCTCTCTCAGGTAGAGGAGGTGGAGTGGGTGTTTCAGGCAGGTGAAGAGCTGTGAGAATCACCTCGAAGGTTTGGGGAGCAGTCAGAGCTCCCCGCAGGGGAAGAGACACCTGTTTCCACCTGTGGTTGGGAGAGATGCCTGGGTGTGCAGCTGTCCCAGCCCCCATCCCTCTGTCAGTGCTGTGCTGACATCCCTGGTGCCAATGGGATCCCAGCCTGGCTCTGGTGGCTGCCCATCCCCTTCCTTGGCATTCCCGGAGCCTGAGTCAATGTCCGGATCGGAAATGCTGACCCAGCTGCTCTGGCTTTCCTCTTTCTGCCCCTCCCTTTCTCTCCTGCTTCCAGCTTCTTCCAGCCCAGCCCTGGCCCTGGAGTGGACACTCAACCAAGCACTGACGGATTTCTTGCTGAATTTATTGCATGTGTTTTCCATCAACACTCAATATGCCTTCACTGCCTACAGGGAGGGTGGAGGAGGACCGAGTCGGGAGGACAGCCTTGGCCAGGACTGTTCCTGCGGCCCCCAGCCTTTCTCAAGCACATCCTGCTCACCGGTGAGTGGGAACTGGCTCACTGGACAGAGATCAGAATAAAAGAGTTTCCATCACAACAAGCATGTTTTTTTCAAATGGACTCAAGATAACCACCACCCATTTGAGAGAGAGGAGAGTAGGAAGAACACCAAGTCCAGAGTATTCAAGCATAAAAATAAGGTCTACATGAGAGCATTGGCTGTGGTTACTCAAACACGGAGCCAATCAGAAGTCTTCTAAGATTGTGAGGGCGTTGTTGTATTGGCAAAGAAACCATAAACCTGATCAGCAAAGCCTGGTTTGACACCCCTCCCCTCACTTTATTCCCAGCCCTCCAAATCCGCACCAGTAGGCAGAGGGCTGTGAAGGTTGGAAGGGCTGCAAAAGGCACAAGTCTGCCAGTGCAGGACAGAGGATGTTGGATAAGGAAGAGCCTCCCAGCAGGCAAAGCCGGAGGTGACAGAGGAGAGTGGAAAGGGGAGATCTTCCCAGAGAGTAGAACCAGGGGTGGTCAAATGTGCTGACCAAGAACTTACTCCACTGCCAAGAAGGGGCTTAGCCATTCCTGCCCAACCAGATTTGATAATTAAGATCCAGCAGCTGCTGGGTGTTTGCCATTCTTTCAGTTGCAAATGGATTTTTTTTTTTTTTGAGACAGGCTCTCACTGTGTTGTCCAGGCTAGTCTGAAACTTCTGGCCTCCATGATCCTCCTACCTCAGTAGCTGGGACTGCAGGACCACAGCGGTGCCCAGCATGAGTAGACGTTTTAATTGAGCTTACCCTCTTCTTCCTCCCCTGTTGTCTATGGGAAGTAGGAGGAGCAAATCATCTGCCTGTTAGTTTATAAGTCACCAGACCATGGGGAGTCCATCTACCTGCAAGAGGGGACTGCCTGCCTCAGATAGCCTGGGCTTGCAGCTGGGTGCCATACCAAGATGGAACTCTGACTTGTCTCCTTTTGAAGGGCAGTAACCGTGTTTTGTGTGTGGGATGGCCAGATGGGTGGGCTCTGGCAAAACAATATCTATTTTCCCCTTCTGCTGCTGCTAGTAAATTGCCACAATTTTAACTGAAGATTATATTTCCCAGCTTTTGCAGTTAGTATGCCCATGTGACTAAGGTTGACCAATGAGATTCGAGCAGCAATGTTATATGCATATATGTTATATGTTATAAGGGTGCCCTGAGGAGGAAAGGGAATTCTTTCCTACTGACTAGAATTACAATATGATGGTGGGACATGGAGCAGCAAACTGAACCCGACAGTGGAAAGTGCGGTTTGAAATTGATAGAACAAGCCAGGTGCGGTGGCTCACACCTGTAATCTCAGCACTTTGGGAGACTGAGGTGGGCGGATCATGAGGTCAGGAGATAGAGACCATCCTGGCCAACAAGGTGAAACCCCATCTCTACCAAAAATGCAAAAATTAGCTGGGTGTGGTGGTGCACGCCTGTAATCCCAGCTATTCAGGAGGCCAAAGCAGGAGAATTGCTTGAACCTGGGAGGCAGAGGTTGCATAGAGCCAAGATCGCACCACTGAACTCTGGCCTGGCAATGAGCTAGACTCTATCTTAAAAAAAAAAAAAGAAAAAAGAAAGAAAATGGTAGAACATCCCTCATTTCTGTCCTGTCTGCCTACCTCTGGATTATTATGTTAGAGAGAAATAAATTTCTGTCTTGTTTAAACAACTGACAAATTGAACCTTTGTTATAGCAGCCAAGCCTCTCTCTAATGAATACATCTACGTTGCAGGATTGAGGTAGGATTAGGACTTACTTATGTAGATAATGACCCTGCATGTTCATGCAATACTTAGTGTCTAGGACACACTGTGCAAAACACATTCTATGCTGTGTCCTGTGTAATCCCTTGTAACCCTATGAGGAAAATAGTTTTACTATTACAGTTTTATAGATGATAAAACTGAGGCATAAATAGATTAAGTAACTTGATCAAAATCTCAAAGCTAGTGGGATGGAGCCAAGAATCAAACCCAGACTCAGGCACCACATTCATAACCACTAAGCTATATGGAAGGAACAGACCTCTGCTTCCTCTAGCCCTCCGACTGTGAGGCTCTAAAGGCAGGCAGGCATGGGAGGACTCTGACCCTTCAGGAGCCATCTCCTGCTGCCGTCAAGGTTGAGGTGGAGGAGGACTCCAGCCGGGGGTAGACACCAGCGCTGCTCAACACCAAAAGCATAGTGACTTCCCGGTTTTCAAGAAGAGCTCTGCCTGCTCCTCCCCTGACCCTGCACCTGCCCTTTGCCTCTCAGATCTCCCACCCTGCTCTGGCCACAAGCCTGCCCCCATCCATCCTCTGGCAGGGCGAATCAGCAGAAGGTACTGGCTTCAGTTGGGTAATACATACTCCTTGGGTGATTGATTTTAGCCTCTGGCCACGGCATCGTATTTCTTGAAACCCTACTTCTTGGCTTACTTGCAGACTGGGTGTATAATAAGGACCCTGCACCCTAACCCTAGGGTGAATTTGGCTGCCATCTCTGGAAAGCTGATTTGTCTTGAACATGGGGTTGGGGATCCTGTTTAAGTGTTATTTTTATATCAGAAGGAGGGAAAAACAGCTTGAGGAGGCCAAGAGAGTATCCTGGATGAGACCCATTACTGAATAAATCACAAATAGGGTCCCCTATGCCAGAGCAGTTGGGAGGCTGGGAGAGCAGCCTTCATGTCCGTCACCGGACACGACTGCTCTGTCCTATTCGTATGTGGCTGGACAGAGCAGCGCCTGCACAAATATCTCGAGCACTTGGGCAGAACCAGCAGCTTTTTAATGCAATTTAGTCTGTGCCACAGGTCCCACGACTGAGTCTTTTTCTGTGACCTATTGGGAATTGTAACGGACAGTTGTTGCTTTTCTGTACCCACTTTATCCCTCTTTTGGCAAACTTCTAGGTTTTCCCTCGGAAACCTCAATTCTCCCAATTCACCTGCTGCACATGATTTTCAGAAGGGCTCAATTGTGGGTTCCGTGAAGTATACCTCTGTTTCAGATGTAGCCAATTAGCATGCCAAATGCTTCTGGCCACAGCGAAGTGGGCATTGACAGAATTAGTCCGATGGGCTGAATCCTGGGACTTTTGCTGGAGTTAGAAACTCTTTCCCACTGTCTTTAAAACTGTAAGGAGGTTTAAAAAAAAAAAAAGGGGGGGCAGGCATGGTGGCCCACGCCTGTAATCCAAGCATTTTGGAGGCCAGGGTGGGTGGATCACCTGAGGTCGGGAGTTCAAGACCAGCCTGACCAACATGGTGAAACCCAGTCTTTAAAAAATATCTAAGTAAAATAAAATAAAACTGTGAGGAGGTAAGTGTGGAGATTCTGCATGCTACCATGCGAGTGGAGCTGCATGAGGATGAAGCCAAAACAGAGGGCAAAATGCACACTGTGACCGACAAGACCATTCATCACACCCTGGATCAAACTGTAGCTGAAGACCTTCCACTTGGTTTTTTAGTTACGTGAACCAATAGAATGGCTTTTTTGCTTAATGGAGTTTGAATTGAGTCTTTGGTCGCCTGCAGCTGAAATAATTCTGATACTAGAGTTGACAAAGAGACAGTATAGTTGGCCAGATGTAGTGGCTCACACCTGTAATCCCAGCACTTTGGGAGGCGGAGGCGAGTGGGTCACCTGAGATCAGGAGTTTGACACCAGTCTGGCCAACACGGTGAAACCCCATCTCTATTAAAAATATAAAATATTAGCTGGGTGTGGTGATGCATGCCTGTAGTCCCAGCTACTCAGAAGGCTAAGGTGGGAGAATCACTTGAACATGGGAGGTGGAGGTTGCAGTGAGCTGAGATCATGCCACTGCACTCCAGCCTGGGAAACAAGAGTGAAACTCCATCTCTTAAAAAAAAGAAACAGAAGACTTAGACGCCCTCAAAGGCTTCTGGGGGATGTTCAGTCATTGCTTTTTCCTGAGAAATAGTGCATATTTGAAATCAGTGTGCTAGAGTAAATCAATAAGCTATCGAGAAGGTAAAAGAAACACTTGGATAGGCTGGCCGTGATGGCTCATGCCTGTAGTCCCAGCACTTGGGAGGCCAAGGCAGGATGACAGCTTAAGCCCAGGAGTTCAAGGCTAGCCAGGGCAACATAGTAAGACCTTGTCCTACAAAAAATAAACAAAATCAGCCAGGCATGGTGGCATGTGCCTGTAAATCTCAGCTATTTGGGAGGCTGACGTGGGAGAATCGCTTGAGCCCAGGAGGTAGAGGTTGCAGGGAGTGGAGATAGCACCACTGCACTCCCGCCTGGGTGACAGAGTAAGACCCTGTCTCAAAATAAATAAATAAATACAATAACAACAACGAAAAATGGAGAAAATAGAGTAAAAGAAAGATTAGAATGGGACAAGATTATTAAAGGAAGGCTTCCTAAACAAGGTGAGTTTGGATATAGAAATAGTAATCATAGTATTTGCTGAGTAAATACTTCTGGATTTCACTCACCGTGAGGGTGTGGATTTTTACTATTGTAAATGGTATTGACTGAGTCCTAACTATGTCCTGGAAAGCATGTTAGGCAGCTTACCATATGTGGTAGAA